CCTGCTGAAAGTCCGTGTTCTTATTAATCATTTGGCATTTGGCTATGATAAAAGGTAACATAATTATTGTTCAACTGTTAAATGTCTTGCCCAGAGTCTAAAAGTATTTAAAAAATTTTTTATTAATCACCTAAACATATTTTTTTTTCTTAAATATGATCTCTTAAATATTCTTGCTCATGGACTTTTACTCCTGTGTCTCTGCTGCCTATGTTTGCACAGGACAGTGATAACTCCTTGGTTTTGAGCCCCAAACTGATGGATTAGAAACATGGTCAACACTAAAATGGACTGGATTTTTATTTACATGTATTTGCATGCAAAGCCCAGTAAGAGTCTACTTGGCTAGAATAATGCCATTTTTCATTGAAATGCTCACTGTAAACATTTTCTTTTTTTTCTGTCTAGCAAGTCTGTATCAGTGGATCACAGCAAACCTCTATTTATACCAGCAGGCCTGGATTCGCTGAGCCAAATAGGTTAGGACATTTCCTGTTCATTGTGTTTGTTGCTTAATTGTTCTTGAAAATGAGAAAAAAAAATTTAAACAAATAAAAAATAAAAGTTAAATTATAGCACATCAGCATCAGTTTTAACAGATTATTGCAGGAAATGGTTTAGAAAATTTAAAATTATAATTCAGTATTTACATTATTGAGAATTACTTGTGCAGTTTTGTTAAGTAGTTTAATAATGTATGGGCACTACTTCAAATAGTAAGGTACCAACAAGCTTAGATCTGAAAGAAAATATAATATACAATACCACTCATCCCTTTTCATGGTAGGATATCAATGTTTTTCTAAACTTGCTGCAGCTTGTCACTGTAGAAAATAAAGTATTAAATTAGATGGATCATTATCCAAGATGATTTGATAATTTGTGTTGTTATGACAACATACTTGTATCACTTTGTGCTGTGCTGTAATCCTTAGGACCACCACCTGCCTCTGATAGTGACATTGGAAAGATGCGTGCAAACACACCTTTGGAACTGTGGAAAAAAGTATTTGAGAAAACATTTCCTCCCAAGGTGGGTATTTACATGTCTTCTACACAGCTCATTTCTCATAGAGTAATTGTAATATCACTACTAATTTTTGTCTTTCAAGTCCAGTGACTGGAATTTCAGTCTCACTCAGCAGTTCTGTTTCTTCCAACCTCTTTAATTCATACAAATCTGTATCTTTTAAAAATGTATGTGATTATTAGCTTCTACATCTTCAGTCACCTTCCTACATTGAGTAGGATGTAGGCCTCTGTATTTTCCAAAGTTATACCATTGCCTTTCATTATGTTGAGAGACAAGCTATACTCAACGTTTTTGGAATTTTATGAGGTGACACATCCCCTAATAACTAAACCGAATGACAGTGATGTTCCAAGAAGAGAGCTCTTCCTGGCTGCAGCAAGCTGCTGATCCTTGTTCTCCTAGGGCATGAGGCTTTGAATGAGGCGAGTGTGTTAGAGTTCCTTGCCAAAATCTGTCCTTTTGCTATGGGAAGTATTTGGGTTTGCAAAGTAATTAGAATCCCTTAGCACCTATGTAGTCATAAATCTTGTACCTATTTCAGAAGTTTATGGTCCCAAGAGGCAAACCTCTAAATACTTCTTTTCAATAGAAGTAATTGCTGCCGTTAGGAAATCAAAGTTCTTTTCTATTTGACCTGAGCAAATACAGGCTGTGCCTTTCTCCTTGTGTGCTAGACTGTATCACAGTTCTTTATCCCTGTCCATTTACTGCCCTACGGCTTACCTGGGCAGGCAAGGAAATCAGTCAGGGCTATGAAACTGTGCCTCAAACTATGGTGCACAGACTGGGCTTTCTATAGTTTCCAGTCTACAGATGTCCATTCTTGGTGAGAAGGAATCTGAATTCACCTTTTCTCACTCACTTGACTGCTACATATCAAAGCCTACAAATTATTCAGGTGGTTTGTGACCAGAACAAATTATCACTAAGATGCCATTCTCAGTACAGCGTGCCCCAACATGATAAAGGCTATTATTTTTCATGTTATTTTTCTCATAGCCTTTTAAAACACCATAAACAAACATTCCTCCACCACCATCACCCACCCAGTAACTCCTGAACTCCCCCTGAAATAGCTGGAGAAATGAATACGTTTCTCATCTTGCAAGCTCCATCAGTGTTCTAAGATATCAGTCTAGTTAAAGACGATTTAAAGATTTGCCAAGTAGATTCCCACTCTTCTGTTTTGGTTCCAAAATATGCTTTAAACTTTAAAGCTGTCTTTATGCATTGTAAACCTCATCTAATAATAAGTATAATTCTGCTTTATTTGTATCTGTATGATGGCCACCTTGCTACTTTTCATGTGTTATGAGTAAGGAGAAATGTGCAGGACAACAGCTTAAAAAAAAAATTCCTTATTTGGTAGTGTCTCCTTCTATTAGTGTATTTGCTGCTTTGGAATTCAAGTTATAGTTCCCTCAAGGTTTGTAAATGAAAATTCAAGTATTTGGCAGAAAGATAGGAATCAATTTCTCAGCAATTGAAGTAATACTTCTGGTAACCGGAACTGAATTCCGGTCTTGAGTATTAAACACTGTAGCAAGAGCAACCTTAACTATGCCCAAATGTCATGGGCCAGAAAGGATATTTTCCTTTTGAGGAGAGAATAATAACTACCAAATAAGAATATTTTCTTTCCTTTAAGATCTAACTGCACTATTACTTTCTCATCATTTTACCAATCTAAGTTGTTTTTTTTTAATCTATCATCTGATCTGTGTCTCACAGCACAAAAGTCTTCCATAAATGCAGGATTTTAATGTTTGTATTAAAAGCAAATAATTCCATTGGATCTACTGCATGACATTTTCTTGTTAAAAGAACAGAAGATAAATTTTATCATTTGGGTTTTTGTCATTTGTTCTTTCAGAGTTTCTGTGATTTACAAGATACCAAGGACCCTGCACAGGATTCCCAATACGCCGAGTATGAAGTCGATGTTATGAGAGCTCAGAAAAACCAGGTGTGTGTGGTAGTTCTCCAATTGCTATTCACAGTCAGGTATTCCAGAACTGCCAGCATCACTGAAGTAATTGTAGAATATACTTGTGGCACCCTTTTTCCCTTTAAATAACTTCAACTTTAGTTTTCAGCTTAGTAGTTTGTTGTTTTTTGTTTGTTTTTTTTTTCTCCACTGGTAGACATTAAGCTGGTAGACCACTGTTAGATCTCGAAGTTCTGGCTCAGTGGTTTCTTTAGAAATGAATAATTCACATTTCCCCTCTAGCTCTCTTCCAGAATTATTTCACTAAAGTTGTATTGAAGCAAAGCTGTGAAGCTTTCTTGGCAGTAATTTCTTTGTTTCTGCATCCTGCACTCTCATTTGGGTGTTGACTAGCAGAAAGTCTAGGAAGCAGTATCAAGGGTTGGGGTGGGGGCTGTTCACTTTTCTTATTTTTGTCTTCCTCCTTCAAAACTTTTTACTTAAACCAGACAGGTACTGAGACGATAACATTTCTGACGCAAGTTTGCAGGCGATGTACGTTTTATCTTAAACAGAGTGAACAGAATTATTCCACATACATAGTGATATTTGGCTTAACTCCTGATTTCCAGGAAAGATCTTTAGTGGCAAAAGGGTCTTTTATTTTTTCTTATATAATTTTGAAGTGTTTCTGCATTTCCCTACAAATTAATTTTATAGAAAAATTGTGTGGCAAACTAGCTGAAGGTTAGAACATTGCCTTGTAGATAACATCACATGAGTAGAAATACTGTATATAGTCTTCATCAAGATCATAGATATGTGTCTGTTAAAGTCAGTCCAAGATTTGTGGTTTTTTCTTTGTTTGGAAGAAGTACCACATACTGAGTCTGGAAACTCTTATTTCATATAGATTCATTTGTTTCACACACAGAAAATTCTTTGCTAGAATGACTGAGAAACATTCCACTCTATTCTCACTTCTTACATGTATGTGGACTATTTGTACACCATTTAACTTCTTTGTGGGCCAAGTTACTGTGGTTAAAGGAGGTTTTTCTAACAGTGCTTATGGATGATGGATTGTACCAATCTAGACCTCACATGCTTTTACAGACCCCCAATCTTAAGATGAAAGGCAGTTTTATTGAATTGCACCGCAGTTAATCTCAATGAACCCTAAAATACCATGGCAAATTTCATCTTTTTGCGTGCTTGTAAAAAAGCCAAAGGATTAGATTATTACTGGCATCATTTTTTTGTAGGGTTTAGTTAGATTGCATAAGGCAGTAAACCCACAGTTACCTGATCCAAAGAAATACATTAATAATGTAAAAGAATAAAGCAATTTCAAGAATCCCCTGCAGTCTTTGAACTTGCACATTACCTGTAATATCCTGTTAATGTTGGCATCAGTTCTGAATTTCTGTTACATCCAGAGCAGTCTTAGAAATCATTAAAATTTGTAAAGCACATTGCTTTTGGAATTTATAATGTAATCTCATATTCAGTATATCTACATATCTCAAAATAACTATATGGTGTACTAGGTTTGTTATTTTTAGATAACACGTAGGTCTTGCAAAAGAAGATACTGGTATGTGTTGATTAAATCATGTAGGAAATTATTAATTTTCTGTTTTTAAACAAAAGAGACAGGCTTTTAGACTCTTAATCTGTTCAAGGGCATTGCAAAGCAGTGTAGCTTCTTTTAGTTGGACTACTACAACTAATTTCAGCATTAAAGAGAAAATTACTTTTGTTATCTGCAGCTATTTCCTAAACTTCTCTATCGTGAAGTTCAATTATTACAAGATTATTTGCACATTATTAAAATGTTTTATACTCCAAGAATTTCATTCAATTTGAAATGCACCAAGATAGCAATATACATCTAAAAGAAAAGAACTCTGTATTTGCAGTGATTCTTGAAGTGTCTTTGGATTTCACAGTTAAATGAAAAGTGGCACAAAATTCCTACTTTAAAAGCGCCATTTTAAATGCATCGTAAGTCTGACATTCTTTATGAAGTCTCACATTGTGCAGGAGGAAAGGTACATTAAGACGTTTAACATGCAACATGTTGCTAATGAAATTATGGGACATAATGTAAAACGGAAGTTTCATACAACACCAGTGTATATTTTAAAATCGTTTAAGTAAGTGCATGTTATTTTCAGTTATTTACAGTTACTTTTGGCTAATTAATATGCCACTTTGGACTCTAGATGATGACCAGTTTGCTTGTTTATCTCAAAGATAAGCTTTAAAGGAAAAATAAACACAACAATATAGTAACAGAAACAAAAAATCAATTCCAACTTTGTAACCTTGGTTGAAGTGTTTGCCTGCAGGTAGAGTTCTTACACTTTAGCAGAGTAAAAGGTTAAATTCTCAAGTATAAAATTAAAAAACAGCTCTAAAAAGAAAATACAGAAACAAGAAAGTACCTGGCTCATTCCCATGTACTAGGTGTCAGCTAGTATTTATCAGATATGCTTTTTGGCTGTAGAAGTTAAGAGTCTATCTCATCAGCATTCTGTGACAAGAGTGTTTTCTTTCAGACCAGCTTATTTTGCCTCCTTAATATTTTCAGCGTTAACTTGCTCTGCAAAGCTCTCTGCGGTTATCCTTTCATCACTGTACCCTTGTTCAAGATGTACATGTGTCTCTGTCAACTATGTCTTTTCCAAATTATCTTCCTAGTTCTTACCTCACAGACATACAATGTGCAGGTTTATATGAAATAGTGCTGTTGCAATTGTTTACTGCTTTTTCATTCTCTGGAGTTTAGCTCAGAGAGAGAATACAGCACCAGGGACCTCTTTGGAATTTACTTTTTTGATGTATTTCTTAACTAGCAGATTCTCTCTGGGAATGGCTGGAATTTTTTGCTCTTTGCAGGGCTTTAAAGATTCAAGAAAAATGTTCATTTTGCATACTTATTAGGCCTTAAACATGTAGCTTGCTGTTAACTCTTTGTACAGCCTATGTAAAACATAAACAAGATGGCAAACCTGTCATCCGTTTCTCTCCATTCTCTAACATTTTGGCTTTTGATGCTTTAAGGTCACCTTAATTTCGTTTTAGGTACACCTGTAACTTGAAAAAGAGTGAGATCTTTTAAAATAATACTGTCCATTAGAGCTGCAGATATCCCACCTGCATCTGTGAGCACCTAGGAGTGCATGAAAGTCTTGTTCCTTAGCTCTTTCCAAATGTTTGTGGCACTGAGATGGCACGTGGGGCGTGTCTGCTCCATTTCCTTTAGAAATGCTGTCTACCACAGAGGCAAGTACTCTAGCTTGTCTTTTTGAAAGTTTTTGTTTGGTTCAGATCTTTCTTAGCTGTGCTGTTATGTCTTGTACTGCCAATACTCAAAATAGATGCTTGGACCTTTTTCAGCTGGACATTTGGCTGCAGCTTCATTCGTTGAAGCAAATGATAAAGCTGGCTCAAAGAATTGGATAGCCTCCCAATCAGGTACTTGAGTAGTCAGTGTCACGCAACGCCAAAGTTCACACTGACTGGTCCTTGTTACACAAAGGTATTACTTTAGACATTGGTGCCACTTTTAGCTGAAGCCTAATGCCACAAATTGTATTTGGGGAGGTGGGGGGGATGGAAGGTAGATGCCTGGTGATGTTTGGTGACAAGAAGTAATGGAAACAGATCTCTGTGAACGGGGCTGTAACTGTTAAGACTTTTAACAAGTCTTAAACAGAAGAAAGGAAGGTTCTGTAATATCTCGCAACAATATTTTTTCAGCACTCTTCACTGACATGACCATGCAGAATGACAGGAGACAATTTTCATCTCATTCAACAAAATAGATCGCATATTGTGCGATGAACCTCCTTGGTCAGAGCAGCGTTAGAGGGCAGAGAAGTATGACAGGCTCCTTAACAGGGGTAACAGAGCAGCAGCATCTTTCATTTTCTCTAGAGGAAGAGAAGTGCTAGTCTTCATATTGTGGAGAAAAGGTTATTTCGGATGTTTACTCAGCTGCCAAGAATATGCTTTCTCATTTTCACATGAAAGCATGTCCAAATGGGTACAAAAGATTTTTTTTTTTAATATACTAACTTAAAGACCATTATTAGAGCATTGTTACTACATTTCCTACTGAAGCTTAGGCACTTAAGACTTCTAATCCTTGTTTCAGTACTTGGTTATTTTCACCATGTTCCAGATTGAGGGCACTTTCAGTAAGAAACTGCATGAAAAAGAAAGTTAAAGTCATGTCAGTCCCTCAGAACTGAGGAAATGCAACAATTAAGGCTTTTCCTACAATCTTAATTTTTCCTCCTTGTTTGGAGACATTATAGTATTGTCTTTAATTACATGATCATATACTATTTTGCTGATGTCTCAATTCAATTGTTCAGTATTTCTTTTCATCATCCTTATTCTTTGTATACCTTATTTCTCAACCTGCCATTCAGACACTTCAATGAACACAGAAGTATTAATTTTTTTTTTTCTCTGAGAATATGTGGTAATGTTATCTTATCCGAGTGCCTCACAAACATCAGTTAAGTCTTTCTTCCCCATCCCTTTATGAGATTAGGTGTGATCTTCCCCGTTTGACAGATGAAGAATTTATAGAAACACAGAAGTACAGAAGCATCAAGGTTAAAAATAATTTTAAAACTCCACTTTATACCAGTGTTGAGACATGTAAGACAAGTTGCTAGCACTAATAATGGTTAAAGCACTCAGAGCACATTGAAAGCATATTTAAATTGCAACTGTTAATTCCTTGTAAATCTGATCTGCGCCCCCTGCACTTGGTACCCAGAAAACCAAAATAAGGAAGCCAAATGCCACAAAATGCCAGTGTGAACATTTTGGCATGCTTTGAGATGTATTCTTTTTTAGGATCTTTTTTCAGTTTGGAGAGAGGATCTCTTAGCTGACTGTATAGTTACAGTATATTCCACAATTCTGCTAGGACTTTGAGCAGGAAGGTATCCTTTTTCAAAAGGGGCTCTGGAGTGATTGTTGAGCTGGATTGGAAAGATTTTTCCATTACATTTCTGACTTACAAGCATTTATTGTACTTTCTATTTTACATGAAAACTAAGGAACTGTATTTCCCTGACAGCATTTTTTCCTCCTGAATCACTGAATAAATTCTGTTGAAGTATCCGCCTCTTTCTTGAAACAGTTTAGTCAGATGACAAATCTGTAAGGCTAATTATTTAGGCAACACCTGTAGACATGACCTCCAGACAGCATTGTCTTTATATGTAAAACTTCATTGTCTAATTTTACCCCTTCCTGTAGCCTTTGAGAAAGTTGTTAGAATTGAAATTATTTACTTAGCATAAATCAGGTTACATGTGCTGCTTAAAATACCACAGTATTCTTTCTATTCCTAACTGTTGGCAAGTTTCTGGCAGTTCAGTATGTTCCAAGATCATAATTACTTTATAGTAATAATGAGGGAGTGAAAATACTGAGTAAAGGCTGGTTTAGAGATAGACTGGTTCAGTAGTACTAGAGTTGTATTAAATAATGCAACTTTGTAGATTTAGACTGGACACAGTATGTTCTGTGGCAGTCACCTAGGAGTTAACTGTAAAACTAGGCTCCTGCAAGCGTCATGAAGAATATGCAAAAACTAAAAATCCTCTTAGTGCTCATAAACCTGTGGTGCTTTCTGAAAATTTTGCACTGTTAACAAAACTGCCAAAGTGATTTCCTGAGAGAGAAAATTCCATTTAATATTTCCATACAATTTTTAGATTATGATTTCTTTGTTGCTCTGCCGGTTATTTTCTTATTCCTTCCTCTGTGCTCTGGATTGATAATTAATACTTCTTTTAAAGTCACACGGTGTGAATTTTGCTATTTTTGTCAGTTCTCGTATCTGTATACCTACAGTGAAACCTCCCTTTCTCTGTTAAATCCATTCTATTAAAATCAGAATAGCAATCATAGAAAACACATGCCCACTTTTGAGGGGCTTTGCTACATTTATACTAATCACCAGTTTATGTCCACCTCTTTTCCTAAGTGAGATATGATGACTTTTTTTTGTATTGCAAGCGATACGGAGTGAGGTCAAATAGTACCTCATTAGAGTATCATCTTCCTCCAAGTATGTTGGAAGTCGCCTTATTTGTAAATGAACGAAAAGCTATCATAGTGCTTTCTAAATTAAGTGCTGCATGCACCACTACAGAAAATTCTGTAGTTTGGTAATGTTGCTAGAACCTTTTATTATAGGCTTCAAAATCCCAAGTAGCATTTTTGGCTGAAACGAGGTCATTTGTCTACCTTGCTAATACCGAGGTGATATCAAGTATAGCGTAACATAGACTGCCTCATCTTTCATACCGAATTTGCTTTATTTATACCTCCACAATTTGAGCCTCTGTTTGCTTTTAATAATATAACTACTATCTAGAAGATGCATAATTTTAATTACCACATTGGGTTTGCATTTTATTTTTACACAGAGATGCTAACTTTTCAATCTACTAAACAGTAGCACCTGAAAGAAAATATTTTAAACTGCTAATTGAAAAGCAAAACAAAAGTATAAGCATGGCATCATTGTCTGTCATCAGTAACACACTTCCTGAAAAACTTCAAGCAATGATTAATAATATTTCCACAAATACCCAGTACCATAGGTTGAATAGATATGGTATGTCACGATTTCCTAAACACCCATTGCATTCCTCAAACAGATTTCTGCTTACTGTTTTCTGGACAAGCCTGTGTTCTGCAGGGGTTTCTGACGTCCTCTGTTAGCTCTCAAGTTATCACCGCTGGAGATGTATAAGCTTACAGAAGTTGATTTCAGTCCTGTGCTTAATAAATTGAAAAAAAAAAAAAGAAAGTAGGCTTTGTTCTGCTAGTTTCTTTTCCGTAGTCTTAAGGAATTACTAACACATTTTTTTGTTGAAAGGCCCTGACTTCAGGCGTGTGAAACAGTAGTTTCTGTTGAGCAATTCTGTTTTCTGTTTTTAAAACACAGGTAGTGTTACATTTCTGTATGTTCACAGGGAGCCTGGTTTCTCAAACTCAATGTCTAAGACCTCACACAAAATTTCTTCTACCCTATAAAGCAGCTATCTAGGCCTAAATAAAAATCTAGCTCCCTAAGTGAGAGAACGTGTGGCAAAATTTATAGTACTTTTAGTATAATTTTGTTGAAAAAACAAAAAATATGTAGTACTTTTTTTAACAGTGAAAACTGTTTGTACAAGCTTTAAATGTTTACGTGGATAATGTATATCTCTTACCACTTTTAATAACAAGGATATTAGATTAATATGTATGTATGTTTCTGTTTTAGGAGCTTGAACAATACAAAAGAAATGCCTCTAAATCGTGGAAAGAAATGGATTTTGACCCTGACTGATAAACTGCTATAGGTGTTCAGTTTAACATTTACAAAATTATTTAATTATTTTAACGTTATACTAGCAGTTTAATCTGATACAGTTGAAAATCTACAAGATCAAACGACAAAATTAATATCTATCAAACAGTCCTGTTATTTTTTTAATAAAAATAGCTGTTTATTCATTTAGTCCAAATTTAAGTATATCTCAGTACTGACACAGAGTTTTAAAAAGTAGGAATAAAGGAATTCTAGATTATTCAGAGATAGATTTAAATATGAAGACTGGCATTAGTCAGTTTTACCTATAAGTTTTAACACATTACTCAATTTATTTTTTCATGCTTCCACCCTAAACATGTATTTACATATAAACAAGTTTTCACACCCAAAATATGAAACTGCTTACTAAGGTATGCTAGGCATCTTTTCCTAGTTCCTTGCATATATCATTCAAAAGCAAACCTGGAGAATATATTTGCATCATTGTTTGATGTATTTGAAGAGGATAGTTCCACAAAAACTGGCAGAATAAAGTGCAATTAAAACCAGGTTTGACCTGGTCTAAAATACAGAAGTTGGTTTTATCTCTGTTTCAGTATCATAGTTTAATACAGGAATTATTTCTTGCAATGTGTAACGTTGTAATAACTTTGCACAGAATTCAGAAGATGACATTTCTGTCAAATACTCAAATGCTAGGAAGTCAGTCAAATCGATGTGACAGATATTTGATTAGTGGAGGAAGTATAATTGATTCACATGCAGCCTAAGCTGGTGAAATGCTAGCCTAAATTAGATACAGGTTTTTGTGCACGGACTTCCTCGCTAGTATGAGACGGACTGAGTGTTTTAAGAATATGCAAGACAAGATCTAGATTAACACCAGAGGTGTCTCCTGAGAGCTAAAACTTGTTGTCAGAGAGTAAATGTCTGAACAGTCACTTGGCAGACCAGAGCGTAAGAATGTTCCCCAATGAGCAACTCTACATGTGCATAAACATGGAAAAGACAAACTAATGTGGTATCTTTCCAGCTCTTTAAAGTTATTTGTTGTTTTTAACATAACATTTGTATCTCAGAATATTATACATAAAGATATTAGAAAAAAATCTTGGCCTCACTTAAGTGGAGAACTTGCATTAAATCAAGGATTTCAGATTCTTCTCTAAAAAGTGCATCATTTCAAAACTGTCAAATTAAACTAGTTATATTATTATGGAATTTCAAGATACAAATATACTTACCTCCTTGAAGAAATCTCTAGCTATGCCTCTGTAATAAATAATTTCTTCACTGAACCTGACAAGTAAGTTACAAAATTTAGGAATTCTGTGTCTGTTAGGCTCTCAATTTTGATAGGTACTTATATTTGTTAAATGGATAAAGTAGACTCTTTGGGATGTTAGTGACCCATGAGAATAATTTCCAAAGATGCAAACTACATTGCTTCCAAGAACTGGCAAACAACTTCTGTATATTTTTATCTAGTTAAATTGACATTTTATTAACAAACAGAAATTTGTTCTAGTAATTCACAAACTGCTTCCAAAGCAAGATTTAGAACTTGATAATGAAAAGAAGGAACAGATATAAATAACATAACTGTCTTCTCTGATTTGTCATCATTTACAAGACAAAAACATGTCAGGTAACTTTGATATTGCTTAAAGATCCTGTACTCACTGGTTGTATAGTATGCAAAAGATTAAAGTGGAGGGATTTCTTGATTCTGTCTTTATTTACATGTTTTTGGTTTGTTGCCTTTCTGCATATCCCCAGAACATTATCAAAACAAAGTGTAGGACTTAAAATACAATTCTAGAAATGAGATTTACTAGCAATTGTACCCCTCTGGTAACGGTTAAAAAACAAAATACTGGAGAGAAAATTAGAGCAGCATTGCTACACTGAAAAATTGACAGCAACAGCCAACTGAATTAAATTCAGAAAGTCCTTTAAAACATGCGATACTGTTGATTGTGGCTGATTTGGAAGTGGGTGGGAATACCAATAGCAGGAAGCCATTCACTCTCTTAAGAGAGCATTGTTTTTCAAGAAGGAAAACGTCCAGTTAGAAACAAATGTGAGAAGATGAATGTGTTTCTGTATGTATAATCACTTAAATTCTATCTAAAATGCAACAATTTAAGCCTTCAACCATAATAAAGTTAAAATTGTAGTATTAGACATTGTTAGAACTGCTACTTTTTTATTGCCTGCCAATAAGTCTGTCTCTTATTTTGAAGCTTAGAATTGCTGTAATGGCAAGTCCTGGTAGAAAAGCATAGAGTATTAGGAAATCGATTGTGAACCGCGACAATGCACCAGGAAAGTTTTTTTCAATGAACTGATTGCCATGAGAGAAAATACACGCAGCATTAGTTGCAGTGGAACTGTTGGCTTCACCTGTCAAAAGAAAAAATTAATTTCTTCAGTAGGTGAATCAGTAAAATTGAAACTCAGGCTTCAGTACCTAGCTCATACATTTCCTCTACCTAGCCCTAACATTATTTTAATGATGAACTATACACACAGCAGGATTTCTTATCATTTTGGAATAAGAACAGACAAGCCATATGCTTCTGAAATTAATCTATGCCATATTTTTTGAAGGCAATAACAAAGGGTCACTAGGAGCTTTCGCTTTTGTTCATGCCAAACAAAAGAAAATTTACAGCTTTGCAGACACATTATCTGGAGGGGCCTCAAGAAGCAAGTTGCCCAATGTAGTAGACTTATAGTGTTCATATTTGTTGAGTGCTTCCTAAATTCAAGAAAGAGAGACTGTTGGAAGGGCACATCAGCTGTTTGTTATTACTACCAAAGTCATGGATTCATTTTCTAACAGTTGCCATCTATGCTCTTGTAATAAAGAGGGACAGGAGAGCTTAATGGATGAAGAATATATAGCCAGGTGTCTGTGCTTCTCTCCAATGCTAAAAGCCCAAAATAGGGCAGGTCCAAAGCTGTAAGCTTTACCCCCATTGATGGATGTTAGCTACTAACCCTGCCAGCCTGATTGATTCTAATGTTTTGCCAGTTCTCTTGCTTACAACCAGCGAAGCACAGCCTGACAGATCCAGGCTGCTCAGTATATGCCATGGCAACACATCTGAACCCAAGCCTTGCTAGTATGAGAGGAAACATCTGGTCAGGTGTTACCTGTCAGTGCTCCCTGCATTCATGTTTGATCTTATATTGTGCAGTTCTATTGATCTTCTATTTGTGTAACACTGCTCCAATAAGCACATAACAGGCCACAAAGTTTACCTTGCCAAATGCCCCCAAAGCAGGGGGATAAAAAAACACGTGAAGAAGAGAAAGATGAAAAACTGAAAGAATGAGAAACGGTTGGGGAAAAAAAGTCAAGCTTTTCTCTAGCTTGCCGATATGGTCTTTACTAAATAATAAGCTTTTTTTAACAGCTCACAAGTTGTCTTTATCTTATCAGGATACTTTTAATGTCTGTAGAAGGAAAATAAGCATCAACATCTCATTAAAGTTATTTACAATGGACTTAAAGGCTGCTTTTTGGTTTTTGGTTGGGGGGTGGTTTTGTTTTGGGGTTTTTTTGAACACTTACCACATGTGAAGTTTAAGCCATAAAATTCATTTACTATAAGAACTTCGCTGCTGTATTTTTGAAAGGTAAGATAACTGAGTATTTTAAAAGGTGTCGGCATTTCTTCAATGGTCCTTAAAGAAACAGAGAAGTTAAATTTGCTTTTGCTACACTCCAAGAGCCAGTTCAGCCCCAAATTAAAACAAGGTTTCATCTTTGTATGCCTGTTACTGAAATGGTTCTTGGCTGTACCTGTAGGGTTTTCAAACAAAGGCCATTTTAGTGCTAAATGAAGACACAACCATGAAGGCTGTCTCTGACTTTGGTACAGTGTCATAACATTCAGCCCTGACTTGTTTATGGACAGTCACAAATAATTCCATTAAGTTGTTTGCTATTCACATTGCAGTGATAAACTGAACATGACAAGACCCAATATAAACCTTAGTTGCAAAACTATGTTGCTTCCAAAGTAAGAAACCATCACCCACTCTATCTTTAAAACCAAAAATGACTGAATATCAAGTCACCAGAACAATAATAAAAATACAAAAATGAAACAAAGATGAATGAGAGGAGAAACAGAGTATGAAAATTTTGACATAATATTATTCAACAAGACTGGGCAATTTCTGCACCTAAAGTACTGCAAGACTTTATAATTAAACACATCAACAGAAAAAAAGCAGCAACCCAAGTCTCAATTCTATTTTTAATATTCTTCATTGCCTCTGAAATTTAATCATCAAAGACATTCACAATATTAATTAGCAATGTCTCTACTGTAAAATAAGGTTAGAAACCTCTCTAATACTTTTGAAAAGTTATCATTAAGGTATTAGGCTACTGTAGCTGGAATAACTGTCTTGTCCCTATAAACATACATCTTCCTGGAATTAGGCAGGGAACCAAATTAATTACATATGAACTTATTTTTATTTGATAAGCAAGTATTAGCCAAGATCCACTTTGAAGAGACAAAGCATCGGCTTTGTGAAGACTCTTATGCTTTTATTGAGGGCAATTTGACATCTTTTGTTAGGCTTACTTCATTTGCATTGGAAAGATTTCAGGTGAGCATATCATATTTTCTCAACATCAAGAAAACTTTTTTTGATGATAATTTATTACAATATGTTTCTCAAAAAATAGTAATTTCAGTATCAACAAATATCAAAGTTCATGCAGTTACAATGCAAAACCATTTATTTGTAAAGTAATAGAGCAAGTGGATCAGAATTTTCCTGCATATTTACTGAACTACTTTATTATTTTTATGTAATTCAGTCTGCCCAGGTAAAATGTGTGAAAAATTCAGTGACTAAACTGGAAATTAACACAGATAAGGTAGTTCAGAACAACTTTTTTTAAAAGCCCTCATTCCTAGTATTTAATACCTGATAAGGTCCAGCAGTTACTAAAAGTTGTAAGATTATTATTTTTTTGGTAGAAT